AAATGGCTGCAGACCAAAAGGCTGCAGACCGAAAGATTGCAGACCAAAAGGATGCAGACCAAATGGCTGCAGACCAAAAGGCTGCAGACCGAAAGGCTGCAGACCAAAAGATTGCAGACCGGAAGGTTGCAGACCAAAGGTCTGCAGACAATGTCCAGTTGTAAAAGTGATGCGTTTCGACAGCATGTCCAAATATACTCACATTCTCTTCTGCTTTAGGACTCTCATTGCTTTCTGTTTCACCATATTCTGCATTCAAAATTCAAAACAAATAAAACATCAATGTTTGATGCGTTTTCTTTATAAAGTGAAGCGATTTGAGGACATTTCCATACCTTGGAGGGCCCTTCTCTCATCTTTTTCAGCTGATCTTTGTACTTCAGGAGCTCAGCATCGAGCCTGCCTATTTTCTTTTCAATGGACTCTGCCCTGGCATCCACCTGAGAGGGGATGAGATCAATTAGAGGTAATGATTGTCAGCATCCTGGGTTTAAAATCAGACGCTTTTGTGAGTATGTGTGCATTAGAGGTAAAAGCTTTTTTTTTTTTCAAATAATTGAGGTGAACAAACACATCAATCTTCCACATCCCAGCAGCAGGGTCGAGCGTAAAAGGACACTTTGTTTGTGTTATATGCCAGCGGGAGGAATTGACAGTAAGGTGCAAGGTAATTAGCCAGGTATTGACCGGATTTCTGTGGCCGTGTTAGCCAAGTAACGCCATCGTTGGTCACATAATGCAGTCATAAACAACAATACCTCTCAGGCTAACTACTCACAGTGCTGATACAGTCCGACAGGTTCGGCGGAGGCGCTTTGGGCTTCCCGCGACCGAATATTCTGTTCATCTTCAAAACCTTTCACGACCGAAGAGCGTTCAGGTTTTGTGTGGGTGTGTGTTTTCTTTTTACTACACAATAAACATCAAACGGAGAGGATTCCTGCATTGGAAACACCCGGAAATAACGGTCCGCAGGCAAATCGACATGATTGGTTGGTGAAGAGATGCTGACCAATCAGCGATTAGATCAGCTGCTCCCATCTAGTGGTGAGGCGAGGCACTGCAGGGTTTAAGGAAAACCTTTTGTCCCAACAAAAATCATCTATCATCTGTCTTTGTTAGTTCACCTCTGCAACGAGGCTGACACGAAGAGAAGGTTTCAATCAAGAATTTTAGTATCTATCTATCTATCTATCTATCTATCTATCTATCTATCTATCTATCTATCTATCTATCTATCTATCTATCTATCTATCTATCTATC